CACATAAAAAACGCTGTAAAAATTTCCCTTCAATTTTAAGGCAGTAAAACAACGACCTTAAGTTAACATCAACCGAGGCCATATGTTGACAAGGGATGCAAAATCACAGTTACACAAAAGAACTGGTCAGATTTTTCCGACATCCCTTCAATTCTGATGTAAAATATGATGCCAAAAGACTGCAGATCTCCCATTTAGATGACCGATCATATGACCGGGAGATGTCTCGTAGGATTCCCAGAGAGTTTTGCTTTACATAGAAATTTGTGCTCTTTTATTTTCATTTTGACTCACTTCAGTGTTGGTTCCTTTAATTCAAGTTGGCATTCGGTTTTTGAAATTTAAATAAGTTCCCAGCAAAAAAGTTTGTTTAAAAAAATACATATGTGTACATAGTGCTTGAAAATATAAATTTTTCCCTTACCTTAAACCTTTGAGAGTGGGCAAAAATGATGTTTTGTAATTTAGGCAGAATTCAATATGCGCTATCTGGGAAGACAATATCTACGTGTAATATTTATTCTGATTGTTGGCACTATATCCAAACACAAACACATCTTAAGGGCCGGTTACTCAATGTCTGGTTAACGCTAATCCCCGGTTAAACATAGTTATCGACGTTACCGACTCCCTGTTGTATGCATGGAGTCGTAGACGTCGATAACGATGTTTAGCCGCATATTAGTGTTAACCAGACATTGAGTAACCGGCCCTAAGTGTATTAACAGTGAAACAATTTCTTATTTTCTAAGTTTGCGAATAAAACTTCACACTTAAAATTAAGACATTTATAACAAACATTTTATGAAGAAAATCCCTTCTTCGTTTAAAATAAAAAAAAGCGAAATCGGACCAATTTCATACAACCCTGCCTGACATGAAAATTTTCTCCACGATAAGGCTAGTAGCCATTTCTAACAGATTTTGGATCGCTTAGTCAAAAATTGAAACATATATATATATTTGAAATTTAAGAAAACAATGCAAATAGCAAAATGGGCTAAAAACGGCTAATTTTTTTCTGCAAAACGGCTAACAAATCGGCTGCCGGCTAAATCGAAATTTCTCCGGCTGTTTGCTATCGCAACTGGCTAGATCTAGCTGGAAAATGGCTAAAATGGCAACAATGCACCCAACGCACATAAGTACATGTAGAAGCCATTTTGACGTTGCTCTCATGAGAACCAAACTTACAAACTTCAACTTGTTTTGTTTTTATTTTTCTATATGTTGTTACTCTTGGAATGACATGTCCTTTTGTTTTGAATGTTTGTTAATAGCAAATTTTAATAAAAATTTGAATTTTTGCAGTGCTGTGCAGTTTACTTTGGTGTATAAGTAATTGTGCTGTTTATACTAATGTGTAATAATTAATATTATCTCGAACATACAAATGTACACATATCAAAAATGCAACACCTGAGGGGTTGGTTTTTATGAGGAGTCAAATATCCACTAATTTTTTAAATCTCCCTCAATGCGTTTCGCGGAAGGAACATTGGGAAAGCAGCTGTGACGTAGCGCTACGTCGACAACGATGTTTAACTACAGATTAGTGTTAACCAGACATTGAGTAACCGGCCCTAAATCTAGCCAGAAAACGGCTAAAATGGCAACACTGCGCGTGATCTTGTATTTTTGGTTCACGTAGCATTCCCATTTTCTCATAAAGGATGATAGAATACAAGATTGCGCCAATCGAGCTGAGAGCAACTGGCCGTGACGTCAAAATATACCAGAATGAGAGAGCAAGACGAACTCGAGAAGAAAAAGAAGAAGCATCGAACAAAAGGCAGTATTGCCAAGTTTTGAATTTGAAAAAGCACCAAATTTTTATTGGTGTATTTTATGGCTTAGAACACTAACGATTGCTATAAATTTTGCTTCCATTTTTGTAAGATTTTCTAATTTGAAGTCCTCAAACTAAAAACAAAAGCACCAAAAACGCACCAAGCACAAAACTCAACAATTTTCGCGTTTTGAATACCCACTAAATTTGGTGCGAAAAGCATCAAGTTGGCAACAGTGAATGTAAACAAAAGTATATTATGACGTCACCGATTGGGTGGATGCTGTCAAATCGACGAAGAGAGGGTTAGCGGTCCGCGAATGGCGCGACCTTTATTTTCTGGATCGTGTTTTCTCATTTCATGCTTATTAGGTTCTTTCCCGTACGCAACGAGGGATCCCGCGGGTGCCCAAACTAGCCCAGAAATCATTCCCGTACTCAACACAATGGGTAATAGAGAGCGAAAATTGGAGCGTATTGGATCGTAAGTGTCGTCTTCTTCCTGTCCGAAACAGCCCGGACTCGTTCTCCGGTTAAAAATGGATAAAGCGTCAAAGGGCATATCAGCTGCTTTGTGTTTACATGTTGCCTGCATTTTCTTGGTGCTTTTAAGGAATAGTGAATGTATTTTCAATCTTTATATTCTTAAAATCAAATTTGTGAAACAAAAATTCAGTTTCCAAGAGTTTGTAATTAAGTAAACAAAAACAACACGAATAAGCTGTTTCTCAAATTCTGGGCACGAAATGTGTTTTTTTGCGTTCCCGTACTTTTGGATAATGTTCTGTTTTTGAAAGCAAACTCTTTGCTTATTCTCTAATTACCGGATCCGGTCCGGATTGTTAGGGAAATAACCTATTTTAACGACAAACACCATCAGCGACTGAAATTTTGGAATGCCGATTTGTAGCCGAGTTTGAGGTCGCTCGATAAATGAGCATGTTCATGAACACAGTCTAATTTCCAATTTACAATCTGGATTTAGGAAAGGACATAGCTGCTCAACGGCAATGCTTAAAATCATTGATGATATACGACAAAAATCAATTAACACTACTTTGCCTACTTGACTTCTCAAAAGCATTTGACTCTGTTAATCACGACATATTGTATACTAAACTTAAAGAGTATTTCGGGTTTGGAACGGATTCCTTGAAACTTTGGGGAGCTACCTATCTGACAGATCCCAGTGTGCACGAATCGGTACAAATATCTCTAAACTTGAGCCGGTTTCCTCGGGGGTTCCTCAAGGTTCAGTCCTTGGTCCTCTTCTATTCAGTTTGTCCATAAACGATGTTTTTCTTACATGTAAATTTGCAAATATTCATGCCTATGCATGATATTCAGATATATCTATCTAATAACTTTGGAAATCTTGATGTATTAGTAAGCCAACTTAATTGTGACCTGGCCGCCATTGAGCAATGGTCTAAGGATAATAATCTTCTCCTGAACTCTAGTAAGTCATATGTATTACCAACTGCAAAGAATAAGCTTAATACTACTGCCATACCTCATTCAGCTATTGGTAATAAACCATTACAATTTGTAAGTAAAATCACTAATTTGGGCTTTATAATTAACTCGTCTTTGACCTGCACTGATCATATAAATTCGGTAGTTAGTAAAGTTTATGGTACTCTCAGAAATCTACGCCAAAGTGCAATATTTACGCCCATTACTACTAGGCGTAGGCTTGCACTTCATTGATAATACCATTAATGACCTATTTGAGCTGGTTTACAATAAATTAGACTCTGTTTCAGCTCATAAGTTATCTGTACTATCCAATCATGTCACTCGGTACGTTTACGGCCTAAGAAAATTTGACCACATTTCGAAGTGGAGCACGAGTTTGCTGGGATGTGAAATACATGATTACCAAACGGCCCGGAGCTGTATATTTCTTTATCGGCTAATCACTACAAAGTCGCCTTCTTATCTTTATGACAAGCTGATATTCCCAAAATCTGAGCGCACCAGAGATCTTATTGTACCCGATTTCAATTTCGCAACATCGACTAGACTGTTTTTCATAAATACTATCATAAGTTGGAACTCCATTCCGACTGCACTAAGAGGCAAGTTAAATAAAAGGAACTATAAAACTCTCATATATTCACACTTCTCTTATAACCCAAGCAGGCCATCAGAATTTAAATTAGTATAGTTTAGAAATAAGAATTATTCATTATTTATTATTTACTTATTTATTTATTTATTTTGTTTTGTCCTGTGTAATCTTTAATGTATTCTATGTCCTCTTCATGCGTACCAAATTTTGTTGTACTAAAAAATAACACAATTCTTATTGTACTAATGTAACTCTTTGTTGATAAATAAATTCAAATAAATAAATAAATAAATTGCAGTTGTTTTTGTTGACGGTATTGTTCAATTTATAACATACCATGTATGTACAAACTATTATTATAGTAACTATAATTGTAAGGGCACCCTGTGCCTCTTAATTTCCCTTTGCACAATTTGCCTTTCACACCATTATTCTTCACATCACTAGATGTCATTTCTTATTTGTGATGATGGAAGACATTTGCTTGCACCGAAAAAAGGACAGAAGCAATTTAGACAGCAGCCGACAACGACGCGCAAATACAATTTGGAAACTAACCATATATTCAACTGGCCATACATTCAACCACAACCACAACCATACATTCAATCAACCACATTCATCTTGCTTCAAAATTCTACATTTGGAAACTTTATTCGGCTTCAACATTTATCGATATCAACGTTTGTAAAATTCACCAAATAAATACATTTTAAAACAGTACAATATACAAAAGTCGTGCATTGTGTTAATCTCGTCATTTTGCCATTGCTCAAAGGCCGCCTAATATTTCATCGCTTTCCAAATTTGTATTGATGTTCATCGATTTGCGAATTAACTGTTCTCCAAATTAAGCGTGTTGTCGGCTAGCTGTAGTCCAAAGTAAAACGGAAAATTTTTATTAGTGGCGAAAAACTTGTGGCGCCAATTTTAACAAGATAAAAGAGCAGCGAGTAACCTGAAAACATCGAGAAAGATCGAGAAGAGCTGGTGGCGCGAAAAGAGTAAGGGTTGGCGCCAAAAGTAGTCGGCAGAGCCAAAATAAAAAAAGAAGGTTTTGAAGGAGTAGCAAGGGTGGGTGAAATTGCGAACGGAAGACAAGTGGAGTGTCGAGAATTGTGTGGGAATATATGATCGTAGGTTGTGAGATATCATGCCAGGTGGAAGCCAGTATAACTTGAGAAGTCAAGAAAGCCAACAGGGTGTGCAGGATGATACCGACGAGGATGGGAATGCGGCGCAACCAGCCCATATGACAGCAATTATAGCCAGTCTCAACGCACTCACAAATGCAGTCGGACAGTTGAAGGCGGTCACAGAGGAAAGCCAGCGAGACATAGAAAGATTGCGAAACAATATACAGTTCGACGCGCGTTCTAACGTGATTGAAGCAATGCAGCAGGATAGTGAAACCACACCAGTGACGCGACCGGAGCGCTCCACGCAAAATGCAGTGCTAGAGGTTAGTGATTCGGTTACAAAGTTGTATGATCTGCCTATATTTTCCGGTAACACCGAAGACTGGCCGCTCTTCTTAGCAAACTACAAAGATACGACCGAAACGTTTCGCTATAGTAACCGACATAACCTAATGCGGTTACACAAATGTTTAGTTGGTCGTGCTAGAGAAACAGTTGCTTCCATGTTGATCTATCCCGATGACGTGCCGAATGCTATAGCTGAGCTGGAGTTCCAGTTTGGTCGGCCAGACCTTTTAGTGCGAAGCCAGCTTCTTAAAATTCAGCAATTTCAAACTATCGCTGAAAACAAAGTGGAGCAAATTTTAGCGTTTTCAACAAGAACAAGAAACGTTGTTGCGTTTCTAACGTCAGCTAAGTGTGAGCATCACCTCGCTAACACGACACTGTTGGAGCAGTTAGTAACTAAGCTACCGCCAAGCAAGCAATACGAGTGGACCAGATATGCCGTAAATTTAAAGCCGTATCCCACAATTAAAGAGTTTTCGAGCTGGTTAAGCGACCTTGCCAGAGTCGTGTGTCTGATGCCGCCAACAACTGCAATAAGTAGAAGCCAACCGCCAATGATACAACAACCAAGTAGAAGCCAACTTCCAACGACACAGCAACAGCCTCGACGTTTGATGCATCTCGGTAGAGAGTCGCAGCAGGAGCACTCGGGAGGTATGCGATGTTACGCGTGCATGGGTGCCCACTCCATTTCGAACTGTCAGACCTTTTGTGAAATAATGAGCGTCCCTGAGCGTTGGGAGAAAGTGAAAAGCCTTCAGCTCTGCTTTTCTTGTTTGCGCAAAGGACACAACACATCAAACTGTCGCGTTAAAAAGTTTTGTGACACCGATGGTTGCCGTCGATACCACCACCGGAGCCTTCATGAAAGCACAACAGCCGCCGCTCATGCAGATGCAGCCCGCAACCAAGGTGGGGCGCAGCCCATTCTCAACTGTAGGGAAGCCATATCCACGCGCGGCCACCTGTTTAAATACGTTCCTGTGTAATTATTCGGACCAAATGGTAGGGAAGACGTTTTCGCCATGATCGACGAAGGTTCAGCTATTTCATTAATCTAGATGTAAGATGCAGAGATAGACCAGCAACCTACAGCCTTCGCAACGTGTGCACTATCCGTAGCCTAGACTTGCCAGTACAGTCCTTCAAGAAGTTTCATTACGCCCACTTCGAGCCATTGCCATTGGAAGATTATCACGAAGTTAAGCCATCGTTGTTGTTAGGTCTCGACAACACGTCATTGAGTGTGCCATCCGCGACCGTGAAGGCCGATAGCGAAAGTCCAGTGGCCATTAATACTAAATTGGGCTGGATAGCATACGGGCCGACCAGAGCAGCAGTGCAAGCACCGGTAGTTCTACATATCCGCGAGAAAAGCAGCCTTACGTCTTTGCACGAACTAGTTACCGAATATTTTGCAGCAGATAACTTTGGAGTTAATGGATCATCAAAGCTTCTAGAGTCTGAAGAGAATGAAAGGGCGCGCCAGATGCTGCAGGCCAACACACGTCGAGTTGGTAAGCGGTTCGAAGCTGGATTACTATGGCGTACTATTCCACCAAAACTTCCACACAGCTATCAGATGGCCTATAAACGACTGCTAGGTATAGAGAAGAAAATGCGATTTGACTCAGAATTTGCCGCTAAATACAAAAAAGAAATCGCAAAGTACATAGAAAACGGTTACGCTAGAAGGATTCCCGACGATGAAGAGTATATCGACACAGGTTTTAAGTGGTATTTACCTAATTTCGCAGTGCAAAATCCGCACAAGCCCGGAAAAATGAGAATCGTGTTTGATGCCGCCGCCAAAGTAAATGGTATAGCTTTAAACTCCGCCTTGATAAAAGGTCCTGAACATGCTAAGCCATTATTAGACATATTGTTCAGATTCCGCGAGGGAGCAGTCGCAGTAGCAGCAGACATCCGTGAAATGTTTTCACAGGTGCTGATAAAGCAGCAAGATCAACAAGCGCAAAGGTTCTTGTGGCGCGATGGAAACCATCTTCAACCGGTACAACAGTACGTCATGCAGTCGATGGTGTTTGGTGCCATATGTTCACCTTGCATAGCAGAATATGTTAAAAATAAGAACGCAGAAGAATTCCGCCAGCTATATCCCGACGCCGGTGCAGCAATAATAAATAGTCATTATGTTGATGACTTCGTAGCCAGTTTTAGAGATCAACAAGAAGCCGAAAGAATTTGTCGAGAGGTCGTATTCATCCACGCCGAAGGAGGTTTTCAACTGAAGTCTTTTGTGTCGAACATCAGAGATATCGAGGTCAGCCTGAACAAAGAACCAAGAACAGTATCACAGCCAGTAAGCTTAGAAAGCGTAACCAACCACGAAAAGATATTAGGAATGTATTGGAATATGGCAACGGACTCGTTCGAATTCCAATTCAAGTTTCATCGTATCCCGAAACCAGTATTAGAGGGAATACGAGCACCAACGAAGCGTGAACTGCTGAGCATAATCATGGCAGTCTTTGATCCGTTTGGTATTCTCGCAGATTTTCTACTATTTAAAGTACTGATACAAGAAGTATGGAAAAGCCGCATTGAGTGGGACGAAGTGATTCCAGATAAACTTCAAAACAAATGGTTTGCCTGGTGGGGCGAGTTTAAACGCGTTAACGAAGTCCGGATCAGACGTTGGTATTCGCCTCAATTGCAAGCAGCCGTATCGATTCAGCTACACATAGTAGTAGACGCCAGCCAAGTTGCATTCGCCGCCGCTGGTTATTTTCGAGTCACCAGTGCAGAAAATTGTGAGGTCACATTTGTAGCCGGTAAAACCCGAGGTGCACCTCAAAAGCTCTTGTCCGTGCCAAGATTGGAACTGCAGGCAGCAGTATTAGGCGTGCGATTGGCCAAACTAATCTGCCATGGTCATAGCATTCAGCTTGACGCGACAATTTACTGGTCCGATTCACAAACAGTGCTACATTGGGTCAACTCCGAGGAGAGAAAGTTTAAGCCCTTCGTCGGCCATCGCATCGCCGAAATACTATCGTCGTCTACGCCTCCTCAGTGGCGCTGGATACCTACTGAGAAAAATACTACTGATATTGCTACTCGGCCAAGATGGCCCCCGAAGGTCGAGATGTGCAGTTCATGGTTGCGAGGTCCAGAGTTCCTACAGCAGCCTATGGAGTGTTGGCCCATCTTATCCAATAAGCCTTTACCAGACCAGCTACCAGAAGAAGTCCAGCCGTGCTTCGCCATGCATATCGAGGTAAATGATTGTTTACTTAAGTTTAACCGTTTTTCGTCTTATTTAAAGTTGAAACGGGTGATGGCCTGGGTTCAACGAGCCACCTGCAAATTTTTGAAGCACGTCCGTGCGCACCAGAACGACGACGATACGCGGTCGAGCGGAGCGCTGACCGCCAGCGAACTCAATAAAGCCGAACAATTTATAATAAAAACAGTCCAGAACGAGATTTACGCCAAAGAAGTTGCAGCGCTCAAAAACTCAGCATGTCTCCACAAACAAAGCACCATCTATGCGCTAACGCCGTTCTTAGATAAGGAGGGCATTATGAGGATACAAGGTCGCATCGACGCAGCCGCAGTTTTGCCGATAGAATCCAGGAAGCCGATTTTGATGCCGAACAAACACATCGTCTCAACACTCATAATGCGCCAGTACCATGAAAACATGCACCACCAGAATTCTGCCGTCATCGTTAACGAAGCCCGCCGAAAATATTGGTTCCCTCACGCTAAGTCGTTGCTCAACGCAGTTCAACGCAGTTGCAACAGATGCCGAATCGACAAAGCTAAGCCAGCACCGCCTCTCATGGGCCAGTTACCCGAAGACCGCGTCACACCATACGTCAGGCCCTTTACATACACGGGCGTCGATTTATTTGGCCCCTTTAATGTTGCGATAGGTCGCCGAAGAGAGAAAAGGTGGGCACTGATATTCACTTGCCTTACCACCAGAGCCGCGCATTTGGAGCTGGCGCACGATTTATCGACAGATGCCTTTCTCTTGTGTTTGCGGAATTTTGTCAACCGCCGGGGAACGCCAGTACGTATAAGAAGTGACAACGGGACGAACTTCATAGGCGCCCAAAGAGAACTGAAGGATGCGGAACGAATTTTAGACTTTCAACGCATCGACAACGAAGTCGCCCAACGCAACATTGAGTGGAGATTTAACTGCCCTTCTAACCCAAGCTCCGGAGGTTGCTGGGAGAGACTCATCCGCGTCGTGAAAAACTTGCTGCACAAAATTATTCAAGACGAAGTACCGCGGGAAGAAACGCTAAGGAGCGTGCTAATAGAGATTGAAAATATTTTAAATTCTCGACCACTGACAGACGTGCCCTTGGCATCGGAAGAAGACGACCCAATAACGCCGAACCACTTCCTTATTGGGTGCTCTAACTCTACTCAAACACCTCAGTCAGCAGACGAGAAAATTTGCCTCAAAAAGCAGTGGCACATTGCTCAAAACCTGAAAGACCGGTTCTGGAAGCAGTGGATACGGCACTACTTGCCACAATTGCTGTTACGTCCAAAGTGGCACGATCGAGTGGAGCCAATCAAGGTAGATGACTTAGTCTTAATCTGCGATTCTCTACTACCTCGAAGCCGGTGGCAGAAAGGACGAGTAGTCCGGGTGTTTACAGCCAAAGACGGGCAGGTACGAGTCGCCGATGTCAAAACAGCTGGAGGAGTGCTACGTCGTCCAGCCTCGAAACTTGCCGTATTATGTTTAGAGGGTGAATCCCTAGGCGATTCACGGTGGGGTGGGGTGTAAGGGCACCCTGTGCCTCTTAATTTCCCTTTGCACAATTTGCCTTTCACACCATTATTCTTCACATCACTAGATGTCATTTCTTATTTGTGATGATGGAAGACATTTGCTTGCACCGAAAAAAGGACAGAAGCAATTTAGACAGCAGCCGACAACGACGCGCAAATACAATTTGGAAACTAACCATATATTCAACTGGCCATACATTCAACCACAACCACAACCATACATTCAATCAACCACATTCATCTTGCTTCAAAATTCTACATTTGGAAACTTTATTCGGCTTCAACATTTATCGATATCAACGTTTGTAAAATTCACCAAATAAATACATTTTAAAACAGTACAATATACAAAAGTCGTGCATTGTGTTAATCTCGTCATTTTGCCATTGCTCAAAGGCCGCCTAATATTTCAATAATTAAATTTTATATATTTTTGCAATTTATATTTAAATGGATTTTGTCAGAGAATGAGCTATACCTTCACAAAAAAGCAAGAGAAAAATTTTTGGATTAAAAGAACATTGCGAATATGGTAATAATATCACTGGATGATTTATAATGCGGGTCAGTACATACATACATGTTGGTAAATGGTTGTTGTTGTTGTTGTTATAGCGGTTAATAAGCCCCACTCGGGCCGGTTCATCCGTCAACGTTGGCGACTGTTTCAGCAAAGGGGAGGCCCAGGAAGTGTGTGACTTCCACAGGGTATGTCCATAAGGACAGGGGCGTCAGCTGGGTGGGGTTCTCAGGGCATGTGAAGAGGTGCCGAGAGTCATGTGGCGACTCTCCATATGCCGGGTATTGGTTGGGCACATCCAGTGTTGCCATTATTTGTTTTCAAAAAGCACCAAAAACTTGGAAAAAAAGCGTTCTACTACAATAAAAGCACCAAATTTTTTTGAATCAAGGGATGCTTTATTCATAACATAATACCGAAGTACTGCACATTAAAACTAGTATATCTCGAGAAAGTAAATTTGAATCGCATCAAACGAAAATCATACCCTTATTAGAAATGAGCAAATAATTTGATGTTTTATTTATCAAATCAAACCTCAAATATCGCTAAAAACCGTGCTTTGGCACTTTGAGGTTAGGATATCTCAAAATTCTAGTGCTAGAGCAATTGTGAGGCCAGATTTGGATTCAGCACCAAGAAACGCTATGTTTTAATCAGGTGAAAAAAAAACAAAATTTGTACAAATAATTAGGAAAGAAAAAAGGAAATACTTAACTTACTTGCGTCCTAGCATTTACAACGCGAATAGAATTTAACAAGGTGGGTTTGACACTTCAGCTTTTTATCAATCATGGTTGTATTTTAGTCCATTTAAATTTGTAGATTCTTGTAAATTCAGTGCTGCCACAGCCTTAAATATTTCAAATTATTTCAGGTTTTAACTATCTCGAAGTAATTTTAGTTCAGAAAAAAGAGCTAAAAAAGGTACTTGGCACTAAATAATTTTTATTGGCGTTATAATTTTCAAAAAGCACTAAATCTAGTGCTTAAAGCACCAAGTTGGCAACTATGGGCACATCGTCATTAATCAAGAACGATAGAATACAAGATTGCGCATTCCCGCAGAATGGCATTTGTGGCAACGGGTAAACAAAGAATATGGTGAAGAACAATGAGTTGAGAGTTGTAAATTTGCAGTGAGAAAACGTGTTTTCTTCACGATTCACCAGTTTCTCAAGTCATCTTTGAATAGAGCAAATTAAGCACAACTTTAACAAAAAATATACAACCACTCTTGAAATGTGTTCAAAAGAATAGGTTTTATTAATTAACTATTTATAATTTTTGTGTTTGTATTGCAGGTGCCGTAAAAGTGATAATAAAAAAAATGAAAAAAACTGCATTTGGTGGCTTTACCCCAACGGCTGCTGCAATTCAACACACGACACGACATTTTTATACAGTTTTTATTACAAATAAAACGTTTTTTACTTTAGAACGCACGAATTACTTCGATTTTCACTTGAAAGTACACAATACGTTTGCAATTCGTCTCCTTTTGTTTCTAAACAAAAAGTTTGTTTACGTATTGCCATAAACGTCAAAGTCGGCAAAATTAAAGTAGCGGTTCTCAGGTATGACCCTGCCAGTAATTGGAAGAGGATTTTATCGCCTATCTCCCGGATGTCACTTCTTCGTCACTATGGGCCCTGTCACACGGTCAGTATTTATTGACGTGATCCATGGTGGAATAATAACAAGGTGTTGTCGGTAGCGACGTGTTTGTTGTAATTTTGACAAGATCGGCATGCTTATTTTCAGTGCTGCCGATCTTAATTTTTATGCTACTATTCGTTAGGAAATAGTATCTAAAATGTTCCATTTTAGTAATTCGTTTTATCGCGATTTTTAAAGAACTTGGTGTCTTCAGATGGATATTAGTATTTAAAATTGGTGGATTTGTATGTTTTTTGTCCTCAAAATGTAAAAAATAAAAGATATCGTGGTTATCAATGGAAAAAGACGTACACAAAAATCGTATGGAAAGGCGATTTTTATATTAAATAACTTATGCTGCATTGTCATAATACTGAGCCAATTGGACTACTGATACACCTGAATAGAGTGACTGCATGGTTAAATTAGGAATTCGCTTATATTATCGATATTTATCTGTTTTAATCTATTTTAAAAATAATTTACACTCTAATAGGAAATTTCCTTGTTTTACCGCCTTTACTTTTTTAAAGTTACAATATATGTCCAAGCTGTGTGGAGCTGCCGATACAAACATATATTCAGGCTTATAAGCCTGTAATTATACATTTTTCTACATTTAATTTGAAATAGTATGCACCAACGGATTAAAAGTAGTAAATAACTAATATCTTTTCTACTACTTTAAAATGCGTTACCGGAATAGACCGGCCGAAAAAGTGAGGTTAAGTAACTGACAACACCTTGTTATTATTCCACCATGGACGTGATCCAAGTATCGCGATATTTATTGACGGTGTAGCATGCAGTATTGATGGATCGTGATCCATATCGCAAAACTCCTAAAAATTTTGAAATCTGGATCACGGATCGCAATACCGTCAATAAATATTGAACGTGTAGCACTTTCAAAACGCGATCCATACATTTCGTCAGTACATCTTTTACTCTCATAATGCGAACATCGGCTCTGCCTTCACCCTCGGGGCTTAAAATCTTTCAAAACAAATAGAACAAATTTTAATTAACATTGGAAACTTTAAAATAATTGTGGAATGCATTATCTGTAAATTATACGTACAAAATAAAAATATTTTCTTGCGTCATAATAAGCGTTCAGCACAAAAATTATGCAAATACTGACGCGATAAATATTGAACATGTAGCATTCGTGCGCGATCCATTAATCCATCAATATGGATCGCGATCCAAATATCGTGATAATTACTGACCGTGTGACAGAGCCCTATTGGAAGTTATCAAAGCGATAGTAACTCATTTCACAAAAACAAAAAACATTTCTGTCGCTCTTCTATCTTCTGAAGAGGAGCTCGGACGAATTTTACTCTTTGAAGTTTTAAAAATTAACAAGGCAAATCTTGAAAGTTTAATCAAGTAAAATTATATTTTTGTTTTCAAAATTTTTTTATTTTTCAGTTAACGTGCAAGCAATCATATTCGAATAACAAATAATAAAATTACGTTTAGATTTTAAACAGATGCGTTATTCGATTTATTATGTCAATGCCTTTTTACCATACATTTTGGAACTGCTTTTTAAAATGTTTAGTTGGAATTTCATAAAATATAAGTGCGTTTGAGCTAGCAATCTAAGCCGAAAGCAGGATGAATATGGCGTAAGTAACTCTGCGGCTTTGGTTGCAAGCTCAGAGGTACCCCAAATTTCCTATTAAGTTTTATATAAAAATCGGCCATGATTTTCACAGAAATGTCGTGTCGAATTAGTAACTTCCGCAATAGAAAATGCTGGCAGGGGAGTTAAGCCTGCTGCAATATTGTGGTGCGGGTCTCCCGAGGCAGACAAAGTTCTGTCTCGTCCACGTCCGGTGGTTGTGTGCCCAGAACGGCATTCACAGGGCGGGAGTCTACATAACTCGAGACTGATTCCCTGTGAATGCCGCTCAGGGCCTGTCGGTAGGCTGAGGGGTCCAGAGGTTATTTAATGAACCTCTGGACTTCGTCCGGCAGTTCGTAGAGATGCCCCCTGACGTGCCTTGGCGAGGGCTCTTCTGCAAGCAGCTGTTTGCTGGGATGGCCACGTCTGTGGCTCCCCACAAGGAACTGCTTGCAGAGCATTATGTTATGCTCCTTGAATGGGAGCATCTGGGCCTCGTCGTGTAGGTGGTGTTGGGGCGTCATCAGGAGGCATCCGGTCGCTGTTCGTAGTGCCGTGTTTTGGCAGGTCTGTAGCTTCATCCACTGCGTCCTGCTAGTCCCAGGCGACCACACGGGCGCTGCATAGTTTAGAACCGGCCGCCCAATTGCCTTGTATGTTACCAACAACGTTTCTTTATCTTTGCCCCAAGTGGTGCCGGCCAGCGACTTGAGGACATTGTTGCGGCTCTGTACTTGGTTGGCAATTGCGGTTGTATGCGCAGAGAAGGAGAGCAGACTGTCGAAGGTAACTCCGAGACTTTTCGGGTTATTCACCGTCGGTATTGTTACGCCATCAACGTGAATACCCAGTTGCAGTCTGACCTCCTTCGTCCAGGTGGAGAATAGGGTTGCCGAGGATTTCGCAGGGGATAGGGCAAGGCTGCTTGCAGTAAAGAAGCGAGAAAGTTCTTCAAGATAACCGTTTACTTTCGTGCACAAGCCAGCAATTTCATTCCCAAATGCCATGATCGAACAATCGTCAGCATAAGAGACAATATTGATACCGTCTGGTGGTTGAGAGGCTTAGAGATGTAATAATTAAACAGTAGCGGGGACAGGACACCACCCTGTGGTATCCCCTGTTTAATTTTACTTGGCTTGCTGGTTTTGTCTCTGAAAATTACTGACGAATGTTGACGACTCAGGTAATTCGCCGACCACCGTTTGAATCCCTGTGGGCGAGAGGAGGCCTCTATGTCTTCTAGCAGCGTTGGTTGACTGAGAGTGCCGAACGACTTGGACAGGTTCAACGCTACTATAAGAGTAATCTCACAGGGGCGGTTTCGGTTAAGGCCACGAGTTATCTGAGTGTTTATAGCGTTAATACCATGTTCTGACCGACATCGAAAACATGTTTTCGTTGGTAAAACTGGTTTTTGACCTAAAACTTGAGTTTTCGTCCATGTAAAACCTGTCAAACGAAAACTAGTTTTCGCTGAAAATCACTTGAAAACTCACGATCCACTCATTCCAATCGGTGTCTGCACTAGTTTTTTTCGATTATTTATCGATGTGGAAGTCATATTTTATCATCTTTAATACGCCATTTCGGATTTATTGTTAATTGGCTGGCAAAAGTAAAATTAGAATGAAAGTAAGAGGTTGCTAATGAAAAGAAAATGAAGGAAAAGCACTTTGGTTTTGTTTTTGTGGAGCAAAACTGTAATCAGAGGATGTAAGAAATGTCAACGAAAACACTGACAGCCAGTGTGAACAGCCTTCAGTCCACAATCCCAAAACATGTTTTCAAAGTGTTTTCGTTGTCGGTCAGAACATGGTATAAGTGCTGTTGTTGTACTATGCACTTTACAGAACCCATGCTGATGCTTCGCTGGGGTCAGGTGGCTCGTGAAATACGGAGTAGCAAGGCCTCTAGTGTCTTCGCTACCGGGGAAAGTAAGGTTATCGGGCGATAAGACTCTCCATTGTTGGCTGGTTTCCCCGGTTTGAGCAGTGCGACCACTCTCCCCATCTTCGATATGTCTGGAATGGCGGGAGTGGCCATAGACCGTTAGGTACGCTACTCCCACAGGACCCAAATTTTTCAGAATCAACATGCATATTCCGTCGGGTCCAATGGCTTTGGAGGCTTTCACCTTCCCGATGGCTACCTTTACCTCACCGCTGGTGAAAACAAGAGGCGCACTTGGTTCTGGCATTTTGTGCAGCCTTCTGGTCAATAGACGTTTGGCTTTATCTACCGGAGGATGCAGAGTAAACTGCCAGCTAAAATAGCTCGCGCATCGCTCCGGGTCCGACGAAGCGTGGTCACCAAAGTCTATTTCGACTCTGTCGTCACGCTTCGTCGGGTTGGACAACGACCTCACGGTTGACCAAAGCTTACTCACACCAGGGGCGAAGTTGCAGGTGGTCAAATGCTCTTCCCAGTTCTTCTGCTTATGTACATTCACAAGTGGCCGAATCTCCGAATTGAGATCCCTGATACGGGGATTTCCGGGATTGGCCTAACGAAGGTTGTCACACTCATTGGTTAGAACAGCCGCTGCAGCAGGAAAGTTCGGACGTGGATCCTTAATACATCCTGCTGGGATGAAGCGAGCTGCAGCAGCAGTGACAACGATGCGGAATTTACGTTCACCTATGTGGACGTCGGTTGATATGGGTAGTGCAGTGAAGGCGCTTTCAGTAACATCCGCGAAGCTTTTCCAGTCAGCTTTGGAAAAACTGACATAGGTCCGGTGATTCGCGGAAGCACACTCGGCAGGTGTATCAATCGAGATAACTATGGGCAGATGATCTGATGCTAGGGTTAGCATAGGTCGCCATGATACGCTGTTGATCAGACCAGCGCTGACAATTGTTAGATCTGGCGAGCTGCAGCAGCTGCCCATAATCCTGGTGGGTGGGTCGTCGTTCATTGTGCAGAATGTCGAGTCGTCTATCTGCTCAGCCAGATGTATTCCCCTACAATCATTTGACAGGCTTGAGTGCCAAAGATCGTGGTGCGCGTTAAAGTCGTCAACTACCATACGGTTTTCACCTCTGAGTAGCGCACCTATTTCAGGGCAATATTCCGCCGGGCAGCTGGTGACAGGGGCATGTATACGTTAAATATTTCGAGCTCAACGTCGCCTGACCGGATAGCAATACCCTGACATTCTAGGATGGTATCCCTGCGGTCGATGTCTGCTTCAAAAAGACGATACTGCACGGTGTGGTGCGTGATGAACGCTAAACCTCCACCATTGTCTCGCTCGCGATCTCGACGGTGCACGTTTTATCCGGCGCAATTGAACAAGGTTGAATTGCCGTGCAACTTCGTCTCTTGGACCCCAGCTATTAATATTCCATGCCTTCCCATAAAGACAGTTATCTCCTCGATCTGGACTGACAAACCGAGCAGATTGTTGAAGGGACTAGGAGTTGCCGGCGGTGGTGTGGGCTATTGTGTTAGTGTGTGTATCTCTTGTTGTGTTGTGTTGGGGTGTAGGTGTGTTGGTTGCGTGCTGCAAGGGCGGGTGGTGGTTGGCCGTGGAGGCGGTCCGGTTCACACAGCATGGGGCCACGAACGACGTGGTCCATTGCCGGTGCGTACGTAGCCGCGAGCAGTTGCGAAGGTGACTCTACCCGTCACAGGCATTGAACCTGACCGAGGTGGAGTTTGTGTGCAGTCGTATCTGGCATACGCAGCAGGTGTAAGTTTCTGGCCCTGGGTTGGACTCAAGGCCAGCCCTGAGCAGAAGGGTACGGAGCAGATGTAGCCCTAGAATAGAGCAACGTTTGACGGATTTCGCTGACCTAACCGGGGTTAGATCGCCGAAATAACAGCCCTTGTTAGGGTAAAACCCGAGTAATTCCGGTACGTAGAACCGGCTGTCGTGGGAATGTGTAAATGGTCCTATGAATTTGTTGAATGAGTAGATGTTTTTTCAGGGTTTCATTTAGAATAAAATGTTTAACGATATATGTCGCTGTATCGAGTTTTGTTCTCTTAAATATCGAAAGAATCGAGTAGGGCGAATATCGACACTTGTGAACTTTCAATTATAGTGGCCATACACGACGAACATGTGCGCGCGCATGCTTACTTTGCGGTGCATGTTCATCGTTTGTGGGGCGGTTCAGGAGCATACTCCCCAAAAATCAAAAACTTCTGATTTTCAGTGAGCATGCTCGTCGTTTGTTGCGTGTTTTGCGAACATTGCATTGGAAATAAAAGCAACAATCTCATTTTGTATTGATGCTTGCATAGAAATACAAATTTGGTGGAGTAAATCGATACATTGATGTTTCGATGCATCAGAAAAACTAACATCGATGCTAAAATACATTGCCAGAAAAACATCGATATATCGATGGTTTCCGATGTTTCAAAATTTGTTAAGCTTTGGTTTCCCCGAAAAGTGGTGCCGTCATATTACGACTGTATCATACCGAACGCCATTCTTAATGCTAATAGCGGTACCGCTTTTACGTAAAGCTAAATGGATTTAACGTAACTTTTCGCTTTTATGTTGTATAGGCATTCATTGCTTCTCACAAAGTTTATTAGGACTTCATCCTTGTTAAGGATTCCACTTAACCAATTAATAACATTGCTCACTCTGGCAGCACAATCTTTGCATATTCTTTCATTTATCTTCGTACTAATTGCTTTCAGCAGTTTAAATACCGAATTTACTCCAACTGTGCTGTGAATATGAAATTTTGTTGTNTTATCCGGCGCAATTGAACAAGGTTGAATTGCCGTGCAACTTCGTCTCTTGGACCCCAGCTATTAATATTCCATGCCTTCCCATAAAGACAGTTATCTCCTCGATCTGGACTGACAAACC